AACCACCCCCACCACCCCACCCTATCTCTCTTTTCTCTCGAGTCTCTAACTATATGTACACAACTTCCCCACTTCTCAATCTTCCACTTTTCAAAACCACATAACAAATCCCTACTCCTACTCCCCCAACTCCATAATCTCTTTGATTATATTAAAAGTTGAAATCTCTTCAACTACTCAAACCCCTTTTCAAAATCTCAACTTATTTTTTTTTTCCATTTTTCAACATATATATCACTTAATCAAGACTAGGTTTTTTCACATTCTAATGGCACAAAAGCATTTGCATGAGCTTTTGAAAGAAGATCAAGAACCATTTCAACTTAAAAATTACATTGCTGATAGACGTTGTCAGCTCAAAAGAGAAACTTACTTACAAACATACAAAAAACCAAGAACCAAAATTATTACAGAAACAACCTCAACTTCAACTTCAACTTCTACATTATGCAAACATGCTTGTTTTTTCTCTTTTCAAGATTCACCTGATGTTAGAAAATCACCTCTCAACAATTTCCCATCACCTATAACAAATTGCAAAAATAGCCCAAAAAGAAAAGTTTTTCTTCATATCCCTACTACAACTTCTTCTTTACTTCTCGAAGCTGCAATTAGGATCCAAAAACAACAGAATTCCAAACCCAAAACACAAATTAACAAAGTGGGGTTTGGTTTATTCGGGTCAATTTTGAAGAAACTCAAAAACAGGAGCAGAAACAATAAGAGAGAAATCAAGAATGAGGAGGAAATTAGTGTACAAGTGAAAAGTGGCTATTTTTGTAATAATAGTAGGTTAAGTAGTGCTGGCTGGTCAGAAAGTAATGAAGAAAAATCAATGGATTTTGAGACTTCAAGTAGTTGTAGGTCTGATAATGAGGAGGAAATTGAGGAGGTTGAATGTGAAAATAAATATTGTTCAAGTCCTACAAGTCCTTTTAGATTTTCTCTTCAGAAATGTCCGTCCACCGGTTGCCGGACGCCGGAGTTCTCATCGCCGGCAGCATCTCCGACTCGCCACAAGAAAGAGGTTTGTCATTTGTCTTTCTATTTAGCTGTAGGTAAATTTTCGGACATAATACAATGTCCAAACTAATTGCTGGCCAAAAATTATATAATATATGTATACTTTTTTGTTTATAATACACTAATATTATATACAAAAATATGTATTCTGTTGAATATTATTTTTAAAAATGACTATAAATATATATTTCTATAAATTTTTGTGATAAATATTAGCGAGTCGCCCTCTAAAAATGATAATTAATTGACTAAATTATACTTATAGTAAAAAAAAAATCTTTATCCATATTCTTAGAGAATTTCATTTCGATATACAGAATTTTTAGTAAAAAAATTACATGTCATGTATAGGAGTTAAAATTAAATTGTATAACATCTTAAAAAATTGTAAGTTTGTGTATGTTAATTATATTTTTAAATATAATTTGTAATAATAAAAGTTGAGTTTTATGTCATGTATACAATGTGTTAGGAATTCTTTTACCATCAGTTTAATTTTACTTGACATATTTTAGCATGTTATCTCTTTTATTTTTAATATTATAAATTTCACATTTAAAGTAAATTTACTTGTGGATATTTTAGGTATATCTTAAACACGTAAAAATTATATTATTCCAGTAAAAAATTCTTAGCCAGCGTAAATAGAATGAGTCAACTCGTGACTCAGATAACCAAGTTTGACCTGGTTTTTACCTGTCGGCAAAAGGATCTCGTTGGTCTGATTCTGTGGCCGGAATGTCGACGTTAAATGACAAAATTACCCATCAAAATTTTGGCGTTTGAATAACCAAACAATATTTTTTGGGGAGAACTTTGTCATTTACCTAAATGGCTAGAGGTTTCTATTTGTTTGATAATTGTACCTTTTTTATCACGCTCTGCCACCAAAATCTTTTTTTAATTGACCTTGTCTTAATAAAACAAATTGACACTATTATCCACAAAACGACAAATCACAATTTTTTTCTTTTGTCATTTGTCCCCCAATTGATAATATCGTTATGGGTCGTTTAGTACTTAGACTAAATTAAGATTGAGATTAAATTTTTATATATTTAAATAAATTTATACCGTCAACCAAATATGATATAAATTTAATTTCATTCCTTATCTTGTCTGCGTACCAGACGACTCCTTAATTTTACACGAGAGTAGATGCAGAATTTAAAGGTTTTGTGTCTAGAAATTAGTACTGAATTTATAACTCATTTTAATTATTGGGTTCGTTTATATTTTTAATAAGTTTATAAATACAAATATAGAGTTTATGTAAAAGCTATTAGGTTCGTCAAAACTCGTAACAGGTCCGCCCTGGCTCTACACCAACCTTTTCCATATTATACTATTGATAAATATAAAACTTCATATAATTCATGACCTAATGATAGAACATTTTGTCTAAATTATGTAGCTCATTATTTGTTTGTATTTAATAATTTGATTTCTTGGTTTTCTTTTGTTTAGGACAAAAAAAATTATGAAGCAATAGGTTTGGCTAATATTGAACAAGAAGATGAGGAGAAAGAACAATGCAGCCCGGTTTCTGTCTTGGATCCTCCATTTGATGATGATGGACATGAAGGTGAATATGAGGACGAGGACGAAGACGAGGACGAGGAAGACGATGATTGTGATGTTGAATGCAACTATGCACTTGTACAGAGTACGTAAATCATATTTTCTCGAAATTATTTTTGAATACTAATGTGCGATAAATTTTTAAATTTTGTAGCTTTTTTCCGACTTAAAAGAATAGTATATTATATACAGTAGACCTCTCTATACTAGCATTCTTATATAATATCCATTTGCTATAAAAGCTAAGTTTTTCTTGAAATCGATTTTTATATTATTTTGCAATATGTATCCTCTATAACGACACTTCATTACAACAACCAAAAAATATTGGAATAAATGAGCTGTTATAGAGAAGTTTGACTGTATTAAGTTGTATTAGTAAATGCCATAAAGGTTCTATAATACATAGTTCATAAAATATGTAATATATTGAATGCAATAATTAAGCAGTTATTGTGAAGTCATATTCAACAGTTTTGGAAATGCTGATTTCATTATGGAGATGTTTGGTTGAATGCAATAAGTAGTTATAATTGACCAATTTTGACAATGCTGATTTTGATATATGAATTATTTCATGTGGGATCCATAAGAAAGTTTCAATCTTTGATAAAAAGATTTGTACATTTGTGTGTTGTACATTACATGACATATTACCTTGGTTTGATGGTAAGTCTTGGACATCATTTCTGTTAATGTGACCTCATCTTGTCTATACACAAATTCATCCCCCAACATTATTCATTGATAAATGAGCTCAAAATTTATGCTATGGATAAATTTTTATGAGAAATATTAATTGATAACTTGGTAAAAATAACAAAGGTTGGCCATGAAGCAACGGTAAAGTTGTTTCTGTGTGATCTATAGGTCACGGATTGGAGCCACGAAAGCATCCATTGATGTTTACATTATGTTAGCATGTCTACATCACACCCTTTAAGGTACAACCCTTTCTCGAACCCCACGTAAATGCGGAATACTTTATGCTCGGACTCCCCTTTTGCCCTTGGTAAAAATGTCAACTAACCGGCTATATGAGGTTAAACTACAATGATAGTAATAACTTTTACACTTTTAGAGCAAATAAATTAAATCCTTTATTAATTGCAAGATGACCCACATTTAGTGAAGGTGGGGTTTTTCACTTAATTGATATGCTTGTCCTCTTCAATTTATTGAACTTTGAGAAGAAACTCTCAAACTTTCTTGAATTTCAAAAACATTTTCTATTTTAGGGTTCTGCCCTTTTCAGTATTTTCTTCAGACTGTCATGATTCAGGGGCCTGATTACATGATAAAGGGTACTTTTAGTAGGGTCCTTAAGTTGTTTTCTAGCATTTTCTCTTTATATTTGTTCATAAATACAATCAAAAGGGACAAGGTTGTGTAAAAATTACAGAGTAAAAGTTGCTATTTTTCATTTTTACTATGTTTGGTTGTTAGAAGGGGAACCTTGGCGTAATTGATAAAGTTGTTGCCATATGATCAGGAGGTTAAGGGTTCGAGCCAGGAAATTAATCTCTTGCAAAAATAAAGGGCAAGGCTGCGTACAATGGGCCCTAGTGGTCCGGCCCTTCCCTGGACCTCGCGGATAGCGGGATATGTTGCTCATTGTAGTCCGGACCTTCTTTGGACCTCGCACATAGCGGGAGCTTAGTGCACTGAGCTGCTCTTTCTATGTTTAGTTGCTCATTGTATTTATTTAATACAACATCAATTATGCTTCAGTTCCAAACAAGTTTGAGTCGGCTATCTTAATCCTCAGTGAGTGAAAACTTATTTTGATTGTCATGCATTGTTAACAGGAGCACAGCAACAACTTCTCTATAAGCTTCGTAGGTTCGAGAAACTAGCTGAGTTGGATCCTATTGAACTCGAGAAACTCATGCTCGATGAAGGAGAAGAAGACAACGACGATCTTGAAGAGGAAGACGATGATGAAGATTCGTTATCATCATACAGATACAGGGATTTCGATACATTTGCAAGTGAAGTAACAATCCCTTATGACATGAAAAAGCTAGTGTCCGACCTGCTTTCCGAGGAGAAGACCGAAACTAACAGCTCGAACAATAGGGAAATCGTCTTCGGAAGAGTATGCAGGAGGTTAGATTCATGGCAATATGTGAGATCAGACACCATTGATATGATGGTTGAATCTGATTTGCAAACCGAGTTTGATGACTGGAAAAAGTTTCAAGAACAAAGGGAAGAAACAGCAATGGAAGTTGAGATCTCAATATTTAGGTTATTAGTACAAGAATTAGCAGAGGAGTTAGTAGTTTTGGCCTAATACACAGAGATCTTGCCTGTTCTTATTCTACTTTAGTCTAACTTTGTACTAAGACTTAGGCTAGTTTTGTAATGTAATCCAAAGAGTTCTTTGGGATAAGACAATAGTATTAGTAGTAGTTTTTAGTACAAGTACTTATCATGTATATGTGAGGGAAAGGTAAATTCTATCCTATTTCATGAGATTTAGTACAACCCTCAATTTTTCTTAATAGAGGAAATGATCTTGTATCCACAAGATACTATTTTTATTTGATTGTTTGTTGAATTGATAACATCACTTTGGTGTCTTCAATTCAATCTAAAGGCATTTTATAATTTTTATGTTTGTTAGAGATAGTAGTTAATCGGTGGAATAATCAAAATTAACGCAGATTACATTTGCCAAAGCTTAGTAGGTAGTTATTCGATACTTATGTTGGTGGAACGAAGTAGATATTCAGTGGGTGAGATACTCGCAGGTTGCATTTGTCGAAGACTTGGTAAGTATGCGATACTTATGTTGGTAGAACGTAACTAATAGTCCGTGGGATAGGTAAATTATGCGTAAATCGATCGGGTGGAATGTACTCCTAATAGATAAAAAAAGCTTAAAAGATCATTTAACTTAGTTTACAAAATGAAAATCATGTCACTTTCACATGACACCAAATATTGACCTTTTTGGGGGTGTATAGTCTTTATTTTGTGAACTTTCCCCATAAAGAGTCTTGGTTGATGTCAAATTGATGCAAGTTCACATAAATTTGGAACTCAAAGAAAATTCTTCCACAATAGAATCATTCTTTGATAAGATTTTAAGTAAAGAATATGATTATAGTACTATAGCACAAAACATTCCAACTAAAGTAGATTCACCTTTACCTTCAAAAGAAAAATATTATAGTAATTATAAGGAGGCATCTTTTTCTACCTTTTTAAACCTTATCCACAGCTTTCTAGCTGCCACACCCAAGAATTATGGTGAAGTGGTAAATATTCCGTCATACTTAATAGAGGTCTCGGATTTGAATCCTGGGTATGGAGTCATCTTTGTTAGATAGTGCTTTAGCCCCTTATTGTGAATCTTTTCGACGCAAATCCGAATTTAGACGGGCCCTAATACAAGTACCGAATACTGGGCGGATCCCCCTCCCCCAAAAAACAATTCTAGCTGTCACTAAAGCAAACAACCAACCCAACCAAAATATTCTCACAATTATGCGCTAGCTACCTTTACATAATTAAATTTACTAAAGTACTTATAGTGAATAACATATAGTTAGGAATTGCAAAAATGTGAAACATGGGACCTAACACAACTAATGACTCATAATTATTAAAGCAAAAGTTAGAGAAGAATTATTACTACATTTGTTTTTGTAGTATGGATTATGGTATGAGGTGTTACCTTTATAAAAGAGATGGTTGTTGCCTCTATAATTACCCTTTGGAACTAAAGAATAGATGCTTCTTGTTGTTTGCACTTTTCAAATGGCTTTTCTTCTTTTATTATATTTTATTTAACTTTTTTTTTAATCAAAGCAGAATATATTGTTGTATTAGGGGCATTTGCATCTATACGCGCTTTTTGTGTTACGTTTTAACCTGTGCATGCTTTGTAAAAAAAATTGCAAACGTACACGCTTTTTCGCATAACTTCAGCATACGGGGCTGAAGTAGCAAAATCAATCACGCAAAACTTCAACATTCTAGTAGTCGGGCCTGAAGCTCAGCTCTAGAGCTGAAGTTTTTATTTTTTAACTAGCGAACTTCAACTCTAGAGCTGAAATTTTTATTTTTGTAACTGGCGAACTTCAGCTCTAGAGCTGAAGTTTTTATTTTTTAACTAGCGAACTTCAACTCTAGAGCTGAAATTTTTATTTTTGTAACTGGCGAACTTCAGCTCTAGAGCTGAAGTTTTTGTTTTGTAACTGGCAAACTTCAGCTCTAGAGCTGAAACACCACAATTAGCAGTGATTTTTTAAGAAAAATAGTGGACATCTTCTCAGCTCAAAAACGAATAAACATATAAAAACTCCAAAATTTTACAGCTCATCCTACTGGTAACTTAAACTTTTTTTTAAGACTGATTTGCTGTAAATTTGGAACAGAAGTACAACTGTCGAACTGTTCAATTAAAAAAAAATTGACTTTATAACTAAAGCAACGTTGTTTTTGGAGATAAATACCAGTTTGTTTTATAACTTGAAAAAGAAAACGAAGGAGGAGAAGGAGGAGGAGAAAGGGGGCTGAAGTTATTTAAAAAGTGGGAACAAGTTAAAAGGTTTTTAAAAAATAGGTATAAATTAAATGGGGACGACCAAATAGAGAGTTCCGTGCAATTTTTACGTTATATTATAACAGTTACATGGACAAGCCCAGAGTAAATGATCATTGCTTTATGATATGGATAATGATAATATTATTCATTACTAGATTACTCAATATGTCAAAGACTATAATGAATATAAATTTTTATTCTACCTCAAAAGAATATAAATCTATGCTATTTTCATGTGTACTTGGGTTATATGTTTCTATAAGGGTGCAAGCTAAAGGTTAATAAAGTAGAAATACTATTATAAGAGATTGAAGTACAAATTCCAAATTGATTTCTTCTTTTGATGAACAGAATTATCAGATACCTATACTAAGGGAGGTAAAAAGTACAGGATAAAATAATTGACGACACAAACATTTATCACTAATTAAAAAAAAAAAAAGGAACAAGTTGCATCTCATTTGGACAAACCTATCTAGGATAGATCTCAATAAAACTAAACAATTTACATATTACTGACATGATAGCTCTTCAATGACCTATAAGTCACGGGTTCGAGCCGTAAAATTAGTTACTGATACTTGCATCAGGTATGCTCTCTATATCACATCCCTTTAGGTGCGACCCTTTATCGAAATATATGTGAACGCGAGATATTTCGTGCACCAAAATATTTTTTTTTAAATAATACACGCAAAATGAATAGGAAATTTTCTTGCATGCTTGAGTCATGGCCAACTAAAATGAATATTTTGAAATTTTATAGCTAGAAGCAAACCATAGTGTAGACAAAGAAGCTTTGACAATAAATAGTGTCTAATTATGCTCTAACAACCGGCAGATTAGAAAGTTCAACTAATTCTCTCCTACAACAAAAAAACATTCTAAACATATAGTATAATAATGCGTTAGATTAATTTATATATTTCCCACTTTATCATCACAATAATTGTTTTTGTCATTTTTTAATTTAGCCTGTGCTGTTATTAGGAAGGGGGCCCAACACAGATGTTGATACATGATTAGATCTTATTTTTTATTTTATTTTTTATGTGCAAAATAAGTGGCAATAATGAGATAATTAGTAATGATAAAAAATATATATGGATAATGGGATAATGATGGAGGAGCATCTGGTTACCACTACATTTTGTTTTTGTGAACAAAGTGGATGCAATCAATCATAACATTCTCTAATTTGAGTACTATCCTAGAATAATATTACAAAGCACATAATTTAAAAGTGGAATTAAAAAGAAAAAGCAAAATCCAGCCACATGATAAGCTTTTTGGTGAAAGCTAGATTATGCAGAATTTAAGAAGTAGATTATGCAATTACCACAAAAAAAAATGAGAATTAGATTATGCAGAATTTAAGAATTTAGATCATAATTTAAGTGATGGTATTTGACTGGACACAAAATTTAAGAATAAAAGAAAGCTTTTGAAACTTATGAATTAAAATAAATCATAAAAACTTGTGTGACTATGAATTATCTCGTTAAGGATAAAATATAAAGTTTAAAGTTAAATGTTTAAATGTACAAGTTATTTAGAACTAACTAAAAAAAAGTGTTACATAAAATAAAACTGAAAAAATATTCCCTTTGTTTTCATTTAGTTGTCATGTCAATTTAGAAAAGCACAAGAGAACTAATTATTGATTTTGAACTTAATTACCCTTAGCATTTGTTATTCTCAAAATAAGAGACACCAAAATAGACAAAGATCAAGGAATTAATAAGGGATGAATTAAATATTCTTCTTGATAATATTTTCTTAATCGACATATAAAACTTTATCCTGAAAAATAACTGGAAACATAAAGTATTACTAGTAAGGCGTACGTAAAATTTTACTGAGAGAGTATTAGAATATTGTCACAAATTTTAAGTCTTTACTTTCTGTTCTAGACTAATGTTTACTTTATATATATATGGATATATGGTTAAATTGCAAACTTTTATTTAACCAAGTGAAATATGTACATCCATCCGTTTATTTGACTCTAGAGTCGGGTCCTACAAAAATAGCCTATTTTGACACTTAAGTTCCACATACGGAACTTACTATCTATGTTAACATGGATACCTATTTATCTTTTCTAAGACTCCTCTCCATTACAGTAGCTCTCACCTTTAATGTGTAAATGTAATACAATTTCTCTAACTATATCCCTATTTTCTCTTCTTAACTGTTGAAATCTTCTCAGGTTTCTTTCCATCCATATTTAATATATTGCTGCTGCAAATGCACTTCCAGGATCTTCCAAAGTTCATTTATGCTCTTTGTTCTTGTTGTCAGCCATGCAGTTTCCTCTTGCCATTTTCCTACTTGTCGACTTATTCCAAAGAGTTTTAGCAGTTGCTCCCATATAAACCTTGAATATGAACATTCAAAGAACAAATGTTCATGAGTTTCCTCTGTATCAGTCATACACAAAACACATTCTTTATGCACTGTTATCCCCCATTTGCTTAGCCTGTCCACTGTTGCTAGTCTCTGATACAATGACATCCACAAAATAAACTGATGTCTAGGTAATATTCCTTGTGTCAAGAGCAATGCTTTCCGGTTGACCTTTGGATATTGTGGCATAATTGAAGTATACGCTTTACTGATTAGATCCTTCCCCTTTACTGCATATAAATCCAGCTCCTTCACTCCAGTGGTTAGCCATCTCTTTGCTTCGAAAATTTTCCTTATCACCCAGCTAGCTTGTTTAGGAGTTTCCATATTTTCCAAATCCTTCTTCTTCATATAGTAATGATGAATCCACAAAACTCATAGCTTGTCCTTCTTTTGTGCAATTGCCCATAGTAGTTTGCATATTGCTTCCTTGTTCCATACTGAGAAGTTTATGACATTCAAGCCTCCTGATGCTTTTGGTTTACCGACAGTTTCCCATGCTATTGGTGCCTTCTTTCCTTCAATGCTTCCTTTCCATAGAAAATTCCTACATATTGCAGTAACCATTTCATGTACTTTTTTTGGAATCAGAAACACTTGTGCTCAATAGGTTGCATTTCAAACAACACATTTTTGATCAACTGAACTCTTCCTGCATATGACAAAAACCTGGATGTCCAGCATCTAATTCTTCCTGCTATTCTATCCACCAGTGGCATGCATTGGTTAATGTTGAGCTTCTTTGAGGACAATGGGACCCTAGGTATTTGAATGGTATTTCTCCAATGGTCAGCTTCAACTTCTGCAGAATTTCTTCTCTATATTATGTAGATATTCATGCCGCATAGAGTGAGCTCTTCTACATATTTGCTTGTAAACCAGAGACAGTTGATAATTTCTCAAATTGTTTCATCATCAATTCAATAGATATCTTGTCCGCTCTACAGCACATTAGTAAATCATCAACAAAACAGGTATGAATCACTCCCAGTTTGTGGTCATCACTTGTTTTAAAATGAAATTATATATTTTGAAGCCTTAAAAACCTCTCTTAGCATCACCTCGATTTGCGTGCACAGTCTGGGCATGCAGCCGGAAAGCCTAAATGTGAAAATCTGTGAAAAATGATAAGTTTTGACTATAAAATGAATTAATTTGACTTCGGTCAACATTTTGGGTAAACGAACCCGGAACCGTGATTTGATGGTCTCGAAGGGTCCGTAGGAAAATATGGGACTTGGGCGTATGCCCGAAATCGAATTCCGAGGTCTCAAGCCCGAGAAATGAATTTTCAAAAAAAATTATTTCTCAAATTGTTTAAAGAAATTTGAAATAAAATTTGATTAGAACATGATGGTATTGGGCCCGTATTTTGGTTCCGGTGCTCGGTACAAGTCTTATATATGATTAAGACATTTCTGTAAAAATTTAGTGAAAAACGGATGTCTTTTGACGTGATTCGGACCTAAATTGCTAAAGTTGATGTTTTAAGAAGTTTGAGAAAGTTCTATGATTTTGAGGTTTAATTCGTTGTTATTGAGGTTATTTTGGTGACTTGTTACACGAATAAGTTCGTAGGATATTTTTGAGGTTGTGTGTATATACGGTTTGGAGCCCCGAGGGCTTGGGCGAGTTTTGGATGGGCCAAGGGGTGCATTTTTAACTTAGAAAAATTGTAGGTTTTCAGTTGTGCATAGCAGGCCTGCAGGCTTCGCATTTGCGAAGCCTGGATCGCAAATGCGATGTCGCAAATATGAGCGGCTTGTCGCAATTGCGAAGAAAGCCCAGTCCAGCTCCCTCTCGCAAATGCAAGATTATCTTCACAATTGCGAAGTTTTCCATTTAGCCGGTGATCGCAAATGCGATAATGTGGTCGCAATTCCCATGTCGCAAATGCGACAAGTTGATGGCAAATGCGAAAGTCCAGCTTTCCTGAAGGGTTCGCAAATGCGAATCCTGTTTCGCATTTCCTAACTTGGCAGAGGTCGGGGTTCGCAATTGCGAACCCCTGTTCACAATTTCCATACCTACGACCTGCAACTTTATACTTAGATGATTTTAAACTCATTTTCACATCTTTTCAAAACACAAACTCCTTTGGGCGATTTTCCAAGAACAACTCTTCTTCCAAATTGATTGTAATTTAATTTTAACTCATTTCCTTCAATTATTAACATCTTTTAGCATGATTTCAACTCCAAATCAATGATTTTCATAGGGGAAATTGGGAGTTTTGGGTAGAAACTAGGTTTTTCAAAAATTGGGGATTTAAACATCGATTTGAGGTCCGATTTCAAAACAAATCATATATTTGGGTTCATGGGGGAATGGATAATCGGGTTTTGGTTCGAACCTCGGGTTTTGACCATGTGGGCCCGGGGGCCATTTTTTACTTTTTGGGCAAAACTTTGGAAAACTCATTTTTATGCATTGGGGTTGATTCATTTAGCATTTATTGATGTAATTAAGTAATTTGTGAATAGATACGAGCGAATTGGCGGTGGAATCAAGGGGTAAAGCTATAATTGAACCTTGAGTTGTGTTCGTGGCCTCAAGGTAAGTGTTTGGTCTAACCTTAGCTTGAGGGATTAGGAGTTGAGCCCTATTTTCTATGTGGCAATTGTTGAGTACGACGTACGGGCATGGTGACGAGTATCTATACGTTGGTGTCTAGCATGACCGTGAGTCTTTAAATTGTGAATATCTTGGTTTCGTTGTATCTTTCATGCCTTGGTGATGATTTCTATTTGTTGTGAAAAGCTTGTGGAAGGAAATTGTGACCTTTGAATATCGAGGAGCATTGACTCAAGTTATATTACAAATTGTGAAAGTATATGAGATGATTGAACCCTTTGGAGCATTAGCTCAAGTGGTAAAGTGAGTTATGAAATAAAAGTTAAAGAAAGAGAAAGAGTTATTAAATTGTTCCCTTGCTGGGTTATTGTTGCTTTGTTGATTATCTCCCTTGCCGGGATGTTGAGATTATTGATGTTGTTCCCTTGTCGGGATTTAATTGTTTAATTGTGTTCCCTTGCCTGGATTTATATTATTATTTTGTTTATTCCCTTGCCCCTTTGTTTGTGATTGTTGTTTGGGTGAGGAAGAGTGTTAAAGCACGAAGGGTGATGCCGTGCATTGTTTGTTATTGTGAGGAAAGAGTGTAAAGCACGAAGGGTGATGTCGTGCCGCACCATTCCGTGTTGATTCTCATGATTATATGGTGAGGAAAGAGAGTAAAAGCATGAAGGGTGATGCCGTGCACATTTTGATTATATGATTTTTTTGGTGAGGACGAGAGTAAAAGCACGAAGGGTGATGTCGTGCACATTTTGATTATATGATTTTTTTGGTGAGGACGAGAGTTAACTGCTTTGGTGAGGCTGAGAGTAAAAGCACGAAGGGTGATGTCGTGCACATTTTGATTATATGATTTTTTTGGTGAGGACGAGAGTTAACTGCTTTGGTGAGGCTGAGAGTAAAAGCACGAAGGGTGATGCTATACAATTGTTGATTTCTTCTTCCTTGTTGATATTCTAGTTATGTTATTTTTTTCCTTACTTGATGCCTTTCTATTCAGAACTATTATCTCCCCCACAGCATGTTTACCCCTCCCACATTGACTGGTTATTTCTGTATTTCTTTTCCGCTGTATATATATATATATATATATATATAAAAACTGCACAGGTTTATTTGGTAGTCTGGTCCTAGCCTCGTCACTACTTCGCCGAGGTTAGGCTAGACACTTACCAGCACATGGGGTCGGTTGTGCTGATACTACACTCTACACAGTGTACAGATCCAGGAGCAACTTTCGGACAATAGTTGGAGGGCTTCCTTCAGTCCACTCGGAGACCTAAGGTAGACCTGCAGGCATCTGCAGGCCCTGGCGTCTCCATCTATCTCTTTTTCCTGTTTCATTTCCTTTTGTTCAGAAACAGTAAATTGTATTTCTTCAGACCTTGTATGTAGTAACTCTTAGATAGTCGGTGACACTGTGACATCTGGTTTTGGGGTATTTGAGGTTTTAAAAGTTGTAATAGACGTAACCTTAAGATATATAATTGTTGACTTCCGCTTATTTATTTAAAATTCTGCTTTTATCATATTATCGACTTGTATTTGTTAAAAAGAAGCAAAAATGAAAGTGTAGCAAGTAGTTAAGGTTTGGCTTGTCTAGCTCCCATTAGTAGGCGCCATTACGACTCCCGAGGGTGGAAAATCCGGGTCGTAACAAATTGGTATCAGAGCTCTAGGTTACATGGGTCTTATAGTTCACAAACAAGCTTAGTAGAGTCTGAGGGATCAGTACGGAGATGTCTGTATTTATCCCCCAGAGGCTACAGAGTTAGGAAAAACTTCACATTTATTCTTTCCTATCGTGCGGTTTGGTTTCTCAATGCTAATTGAATTTCTACTTTGTTCTTTCGCAGATGGCGAGAACATGCGCTTCCTCATCCACTGTCTAGCAACCCGATCCTCCAACAGCAGCTCCCACGAGGGGCAGAGGGTGAGGCCGAGGCAGTGCTAGAGGNTCAATGCTAATTGAATTTCTACTTTGTTCTTTCGCAGATGGCGAGAACATGCGCTTCCTCATCCACCGCTCAGCAGCCGAGCCCCCAGCAACAGCTCTCATGAGGGGCAGAGGGCGAGGCTGAGGCTGTGCTAGAGGCCGAGGTAGGGGCAGAGCTCAGCCCCGAGCAGCAGCGCCAGTGGCAGAGCCTCAGGTTGACTTTGATGAGGAGGTTCCGGCCCCAGCAGTCCTGGCGGGCCCAACTCAGGTCCCAGAGGGGTTTATTGCTACTCCAGTTCTTCAGGATGCTTTGGTCCGACTAATGGGCCTCATGGAGAGTGTCACCCGAGCAGGCTTGCTTCCTGTAGCACTAGCCGTCTCTTAGGCTGGAGGAGGGGCCTAGACTCCTGCTACTCGCACTCCGGAGCAGGTAGCTCCTTAGATTCAGACTCTAACGATTCAGCCAATTGGAGCAGTACAACCGGGTGTGGTAGCATAGGCCGGTGATGGAGCAGCTATGTCTGTCGATGCTTTGTAGAGGCTGGATAGGTTCACCAAGCTCTTCACTACTACTTTCAGCGGTGCATCTACTGAGGATCCCAAGGATTATCTAGACAACTGCCACGAGGTTCTTAGGAACATGAGTATTGTTGAGACCAATAGGGTTGATTTTGCTACATTTCGCTTGTCTAGATCCACCAAGACTTGGTGGAGAGATTATTGCTTGGCTAGACAAGTCGGATCGCCAGCCTTGACTTGGGAGCAGTTTGCATAGCTATTTCTGGAGTAGTTTCTCCCCATTATGCAAAGAGAGGCCCATCGGAGGTAGTTTGAGCGC